GAAGTTTTTTGAAAATCTAAAAATGCAGAACGTTTCCTGTAAGGGGTAGGTTTAGGTGTAGGGTTGGTGTAGGGCAATAGAATATATGGTCTGTACAGTAGAGAAACCATTATGCCTATGGAGAGTCCCCACAAGGATAGCAAACCAGACGTGTGTGTTTACAGTACAAGCATTTGTACGCATAATAACAGCATCAATGTTTGTTCCTTTCAGAAATGGACCGCAGAAGAAGACCGGAAGCTGAAAGCAGGTGTGAGGAAGTATGGGGAGGGCAAATGGAGAATGATCCTGAATGACTTTGAGTTTGACAACCGCACCGGTGTTAATCTGAAGGACAGGTGGAGAATCCTGAAGAAAATAGAAGACTATTGAGCTGCCGGCGGCTTCTGCTTTTAGTATTTAAAGAGCTTTAGAGTTGAAGTTTTCAGTATTTAAGTTATTTTCATTCACTTTTTGAAAGTGTATTCCTTCTTTCTTTTTTTCGGTTAAGTTTACGTAATGCATTTATTCACACAAGTGTTTCAGAGTTCAGTGAATAATTCCATTGTTATGCGTGTAATTTCACAAAATATGTTTGGAATTCAGGAGCGCCGTTTTGTAAATTAAAAGTAAAAACTATTTAGCAGAAGTATCACTGCTGGAAAAACAGCTTTAAAAGCTTTCTGTTGCTGTTTGTTTGAACTGTAAGACCAACATTTGTCCAGTAGAGGCTGCAAGTGAGTTTGCAAGTTTTTTTTTGCCTTAAATCTGTTCCTAGAGATTTTCACAAGGGAAAAAAAAAAAAGAGTTTGAAGCTACAGCTGTAAAAACTAAAGAACTTTTAATAAATGTATGTGAAAGTGGGACATGTTCATTTGTGGATTTCAACGAGGGAGTGAAGAATCATCTTAGGTGTGTTTAAATGAAAACGAAGCTGTGCACATGTGGACAGGAGCAGTGCTGTAGTCTCTGTACTTTCCTCCATGTTCCTCTGCAGCGAGGGCTTCCCACTGCCTGCCAGTGTAGAAGCTCATCCCTGCCAAGACAAGAAGAGTCTACCATCAGATGGCACGTAGGGCTGTGCGATATTGAAAAAAAATGCGATAACTCGTTAAATAATGCGATATTCGATATGCGATACGATAATGCTTAAAGTGCCCCATACTCAGATGAACCCCAAATATTGCAAGCTGTGGCGATATGCATATTGCGATATTTCGATATATTGCGCAGCCCTAGATGGCGGGTACAAAAACCTTATTTTACATTATGAGTTTTGTGGTTTACATTTCATTTGCATTGTGTTTGATTTCTTTCCATGATATTTAAAGGCTTCTGGCATTAAATGCTTGACTTGTCTTGCAATGGCTAGTTTTAGAGTTTATACCGTTTAAAAGATCTAGGTCTTTATTTTTATTTTATTTTTTTGCGTTTTTGAAAGAAGTCTCTTATGCTCACCAAGGCTGCACTTATTTGATCAGAAATACAGTAAAAACTAATATTGTGAAATTTAAAATAACAAAAAAAAATGTCTTAATAGTTTTAAAATATAATGTCATTGCAAAGAGGATTTAGACTCAGCAGTCAGTACTCCAGTCTTTATTGATCTTTCTGAAATCAGTCTGATATGCTCAAAATTCTACGTTATTTAAAAGTTTTGTGGAAACCTGATGCATTTTTTTTTTTTGCCCGGGATTTGTTTGGTGAATATGAAGTTCAAAAGAACAGCATTTATTTGAAATAAACCATAAACTTAAAGGTCCCCTGAAGTGCCTTGAAACACCCAAAAAAAAACTTTAATTTTGATTTCATGGGGACTTTAACATTATAATAGGTTGTATTGACAATTGATCAATTTAATGGGTTCTTGCTGAATGAAAGTATTAGGCCTAATTTATTAAAATAAAATAAAAAGTTTACTTTCATCTCAAGCTCTCCTTTGTGAATAAGTACTCTATTCCTCATTTGTAAGTCGCTTTGGATAAAAGCGTCTGCTAAATGTAAATGTAAAAAACATACAGGAGGAAACTGTTGGTCATGTTGAAAATGGCACAACACATGAGGGACAGTCATATAAAAATAGTTCTTTTTACACATTAATTCACATTGTGTTTAGATTATTACTAGTTAAGAAGTGCATTGTTTTTATGACCAATTTTCATATTTTAAATATCAAAGTCTGGGCCTTGTAAAATAATAAAATGTATGCCGAAACAATGAAGGCATAAAAAATGGTTTTAATCCAGTTTTAATTCGAAATCTGTTGGTTTATTAAAAGCAAGTCTGTAGTTGAAGAAACATCCATATGCCTCAAGTACTACATTGAAATCGCAAGCACTAGAAATCCTAAAGGTCAGAGTTCAACCATTCACAATGGTGATGAAGGACACATTAATATGGCACAAGAGTCTTTTGCTAAACGTTTCATGAATTATGTTGTTGTTTCAGCATGAAATCATCTGAACTCACAAGATGATGTGCTATTGTTGCTGCATCAGAATCAGGTTCTCTAAAAAAAAAAACACTGGCATTATGGGTACACTACCTCTCAGCCAGGTTACCGTCTCCTTGGCAGCTCCGACTGTGGTTGTTCATCGCCGGAGGTTGGCAGGCAACACAGACAGTGTAGCCCTCCCTCAAGTACTGCATCCAGCGCGTGTAGGGTCTGTTCTCCACCATGCACTGCGCTGTCAGAGACTCCATCTTGAACGCCATACAGAAACTGTGGAGCACACGCCATCATCAAGTGACTTAAGTGTTAATTGCGAGAAAAAAAGAATTAGTCACATTGTGAGGCTATAGCACTGTTTCGATTCAGATTTATATAAATATAAAATCAAGTCAGATTTAAATTACAAGAAGCAATTACAAGAAGTTAAATATTGTGACAATCAGTTTTTATAGCTTAAAGCAGTGGTTCTTTCTCAAAGTGTGGTAGGAGTAGCACTAGTAGTGGTACTCAGGCTCCATCTAGTGGTACGCAGAGGAATCACTAAATTAAATGTAAATTAATGTTAAAGGGGTCATAGGATGCCCATTTTCCACACATTGATATGATTCTTTAGGGTCTTAATGAAAAGTCTGTAACATAGTTTGGTAAAGAATTCTCAATGGTAGTGTAAAAAACACATTTTTTACCCTGTCAAAAACAAACAGAACACCTCAATCGCTTAGGACTCATTCTTGTCTACATCTGCTCCGGCGCTGAAACAATGGCGGACTGATGACAGCTTACTCAGGGCGGGTCTAAGGTAAGACACCAGTCCAGTCTGTGCTGAAACGCTACTGTCAATCAAAATATCGTGGGCGGGCCTGTCTGTGTGACGTCACGCAGACAGGCATGAGATTGGCTCGATGCACTGTGCAGTGTTAATGTTCAAACTGTGTATTTACAATGTTAAACTGGCTGACAACAATAAATATTCTTATTAGGAATAAAACTGCCTTGTTTTTGAACTGTGCAGAGCTGTAGCTGAATAGTTAGGCCTACTACGCTACCGTATTTTAATATTGGTCATTATGGTGGTACTTGGAGAGGCAAATATTTTCTAAGGTGGTACTTGGGTCTAAGGTAAGACACCAGTCCAGTCTGTGCTGAAACGCTACTGTCAATCAAAATATCGTGGGCGGGCCTGTCTGTGTGACGTCACGCAGACAGGCATGAGATTGGCTCGATTTGAGAAAGGGGAAAACATTTAACCAGATTAAAAAAAAACACTGGGTGGATTTTTATCATTATAGGGTGGTTGTGTACACACACTGCCTACACACATTTCTGTTCAAACAACTTGTAAAAGTGCATGTAGTATCCTATGACCCCTTTAAAACCATAGACTGTATGGTTAAAACACAATACATTTTAATTTAATCTTTGAGTAAAGTTTTTCTTTTTTTTTTACATTTAAGTACAGTACAGTTTTTATTTAACTTTTAGGTACAACACATTTTCATTTATCATTATTTAATTTTGTTATTTACCTGTTTGTAAGCACTGTGCAGTGTTAATGTTCAAACTGTGTATTTACAATGTTAAACTGGCTGACAACAATAAATATTCTTATTAGGAATAAAACTGCCTTGTTTTTGAACTGTGCAGAGCTGTAGCTGAATAGTTAGGCCTACTACGCTACCGTATTTTAATATTGGTCATTATGGTGGTACTTGGAGAGGCAAATATTTTCTAAGGTGGTACTTGGTTTAAAAAGTTTGAGAACCGCTGGCTTAAAGTAATGAACTATTTGTTGAAATGAGTAAACAGGCTTCTCATCACAAATTCTCATCATGAACAGTGTCTTTGTGCTTGTTTAATCTACAGTGATACATACCCAGCATCCACTGGGGCCCCATACAAATCATGTGTTCTGCCTTTGCTGTACTCCATTGTTGTTATAAATGCTGCTCCTGGAATTAATCCAACACAGTCTCTGTTTAGGTTCCACCAATAAACAGCTAAGTGATTAAAATGTTACATTTTAATCACTTGTTAAAAATGAAAATACATTTGTTAAAAATGTTAAAAATGTATACATTAAAAATGTATACATTTATAAAAAATTAAAAATCAAAAAAACTTAAAAGTTCCTTTTTTTTTTTTACGCACTCTTTTTTCGAATCTCTGCCAGTGTAAACAAGAAGGCAGGACATTTTAAAAGCAATACTGAAAGAGAAGTATTTTTTTTTATACGCAGTGTTTTTTCGAATCTCTGCCAGTGTAAACAAGAAGGCAGGACATTTTAAAAGCAATACTGAAAGAGAAGTACACTTATTTGTTTTGAATATGTACGTGTAGTACTTGTACTTCAAATCTTACAAAGTATATATTTTTTAAAACTACTTGCAGATAGTATAATATTAATGTGATAAAAGAGAGATTTCTTACTTGTACTTCTGTACTTCTTTTGTCATGCTTCAACTTCAAACTTACTTTGATGTGTTTACTGACCTACCTGCTAAAGCACTGTGTTTTTTGATAGGCTACTACATGAATAAATTGGGTAACACTTTATTTAAAGTGTCCATGTTACACGTTACATCTACTTATTATAATAACAATAAATTCTGCATAATTACATGCAAGTAGCCAAACACTAACCATACAGTAAGTACATGTAGTTAATTAATGTTTCTCACTACTTAAATGTATAATTACACTGTAATAAGGACACTTTAAAATAAAGTGTAACCATAAATTGCAACTTCATCATTACAGATGTATAATTACAAGTGCATTAAATACATGACACACAATTTTAATAAAAGTTGCTTTAAAGTATATTTTAGTTTACCATAAATGTTTGGCAGTACATTCGGAAGCACACTTTAACCATTATACAAAGACAATAGAATTATGAAATTACATTTGATTATGTACTTAAGTCCTACTTAAGTTGGTCAAAAACCTTAATTTCAGCAAAT